TGAATCTTTTATATTACTATATGCTTGTTCCTTGTTCGCCATTCCTAACAGTGACCATGTTATTGCAACCATGGTGAAAAGTACTCAGAACGTGGAGTGATTTCAGCAGAGTACTTTTATTAAGCTGGAACAAGACGAAGACTGCCGGCTCGCAGGCCGGTATATATGCCCAGAGAAACCCACCACCAAAACACACCCCCTACTTCCTATAGGCTATTTACAGTAGCCGAGAGTCCCATAGGCTCTCGGCTGCGGACCTGGCCCTCTGATAGGTGCGGGCTAGGATCCGCTGGGCTATTGTTCTCCCTGAGCGAAGCTTCAGGGCTGTGCTTGACCGCATGGCCCAATGGTCGCGCACGTGGTAATGGCGGAGTACATTACACATAGTACTAACAATAAAGCAAGACCTTTCTTGGAAATGTGTGCCCTGTTGTTTGGCTGTGGGTGCTGACACCTAGCCGCCTTGCGAGGTACAGCTAGGGTTGCCACCTCTGGGTGGGAGATATCCGGAGATTTCAGGAGTGGAGCCTGGAGAGGGTGGGGTTTGGGGAGGTGTGGGACCTTAGCAGGATATCATGCCATAAAGTCCATTTTCTCCGGGGGAACTGATCTTGGCTGTCTAGAGATCAAGTGTAATAGCCAAAGGTCTCTAGGTGCCACCTGGAGCTTTGCAACCCTAACTCCAGGTCTCTGTCACCCAAGCCCCACTGCGCCCCGCTGCTCCACGGATGACCTCTCTCTGCCTTTGTCAGCACAACTGGCTTTTTATCTCTCCATCACACTTGGCGTGATAGAGTGGTCGTCATTAACGCCAGGGTATTCTCACTGTGAGCACTCGCTCTTCTTGGGGCTCAGCTGCCATCGGGGAGCCCACCAAAGGCGGATGGAGGCAGAGCTGGGGGGGTGGGCTGCAAGAGACCCAGCACCAGACCCTCGTGCTGGCTGGTTTTGTGACTACGAAAAGTAGCCACCAGGGGGCTGGGAGGGCTGTGATTTGGAACAGAGAAGTGTGCTTGCCGTGGGGGGGAAGTGAATTTCCTGAGACCTTTTTCACCAATCGAAGCACCTCCACCCTGCTCCTGAAATGGCTGTTTGTCTCCCTCACCCCATGCAATAACGAGAAGTGGCCAGCCTTTTCTTCCGGTCACTCTCTGCTCCAGAGGGATGGTTTTGTTCAGGGAATGGCTCAAGGTTTCCCCTCACTGCTCCGACCAAAAGCAGAGTTGCCTCCCCTACAGTTCTCTCCCCAAAACTGTGAGATCCCGTCGACAATCTCCAGCATGTCTGATAATAAATTCAGTGATCCAGCACTTTGTCAACCCCCTTACTTTGTTAAGAGACTTAACACAGACTGCGTGAGGAAAACGGAATTAAAGTGATCAACAATGGGGAGGAGGCGAGCGCCATCTGCGCAAGACGGAATTTTCGGCACTTGACAAAGGAACGCACTTTGCAACAGACTGCGCCCCCCCCCCGCCCTTTTGCCCCCTGCAGGCACCCTGCAAAGACCCACGGGAGGTTGGCAAAGTCTTCCACGTAGGTCCAAATGACATCCGTATTTTTAAAGCACACCACCTTCTGAAGGGTTTAAAATGACTTTTTCGCCACATTCAGAAATCCTGGAGTGTCACCTGCAGGTCACAATGGAACAGAAATGTGTCACATTACCCGCCAGGGCAGCAAGCAGGGGAACTATTTAGTATCCCGGAAAATCATGGCTCCAGCCTCACAGTGCCTAACAAAGCTAATGTCACAGCTGACAGGAATCCACGCGCTGACACTGCACAACTGCCTCATCAGCCTTCAGCCTTCCTTTGAATCCACATGGCGGCCCATCTTGGAACGTGCTGGGGCGAAGCCGCCAAGAGGACAGGCTCCAGGGCTATGGGGCTGGTGCAGTTCTGTGTGGCAGAGGAAGAACAGCCCAAGAGGTGATAACGGATGAAAGATTTGGCTTCCTGAAACTTTTTATATCCTTTTTAAAAAAGGCATCACTCCCCCCACCCCCAATATGATTACACAGCAGTGCTTGAGAAGTGGGTGGACAACGGCAGGAGGAATCATGGGCTAGTTTCAGGGACCTGCATAGTGCTTTGGTCTACCCTGTGACCAGCAGAAGCAGAACAATTTATGCAAACAGCAAAAATTGAAAAACATATGCAAGATTAAGGTACACTGCCCATATCTGCAGGTTTTAGGCAGGCTGCAGAATTTGGTTTCTCTGGTGAAGAATTTTGACTTCATAACATAACTAGGAGTAAGGTCCGTTGTCGGAAGAAATACAATACGCTCTAGAAGGAAGCTCCAGGTGAGTGTCCCGACTGTGGATGGTGGGGCGGCAGAGGGAAAGGGAAAATAGAGGGAGGCAAGCCATGTTTCTTTCCTTCGGCTTAGCTATAAGGCAGGGCTGTCTCAAGTCATTTTGATGCCCTAAGTGGGTAGTATGGGAGGACAGCCTCATGGAAACAGGTATGGTTCCCTCCCCCCCTGACTTCTGTTGATTTGAGGTTATGCAGTGGCAGCTAAGGTAGAAAAGCACCTCCTCCTATGCCATGTCTTCTGGGTTCCAAGGGTCCGGAAAGTGGTTCCATAGCCAGTTACAGGGTTACCAACTCTGGGTTGGGAAATACCTGTAGATTTGAGGGGTAGAGCCTGGGGAGAGCAGGGTTTGGGGTGCGGAGGGACCTCAGCAGGGTATAATTCCATAGAGTCCATTGCCCAAAGCAGCCATTTTCTCTAGGAGAACTGATCTTGGCGATCTCCAGGTGCTGCCTGGAGGCTGGCAATACTAAGGGGAGGGCCAGACCTGTAGATCTGACGGGTAGAACATGGGGAGGGCAGGGTTTGGGGTGCGGAGGGACTTCAGCAGGGTATAATGTCATAGAATCCACTGCCCAAAGCAGCCATTGTAATAGCTGGGAAATTTTCTGTAGGGGAAATGATGTTCTGTGGCTGGGGAACACGGGGATTTCTGGGAGATCTCCAAGACCCACAGGGAGATTGGCAACTCAAGTGACCGTTTAAGGGAAAATTGGGATATGTATTTTACCTCAGGACACATTCAATGACTCCCAACAGCAACAGCAAACTGTTTAGAATGTTAGAGGCAAAGGCCAATCAGGCCGCATATGCAAATGACCTCTGTGTTCCGACTGGCTATTGGGGGGGAGAGGAACAGCAAACTGTTTAGAATATTGGAGGCGAGACTCAGGCAACACAGCCAGTGGATAGGGACAGCTTCTGAGTGACAGATCAGGGAGCGAACTGATTTGGGAGCGTGTGGAATGTTCAGTAGGGTCCATGACCAAAACAGAATTATATATAAGAAGAGATTACATCTCTAATCAACCATTACACATTACACAGAAAGAAGGGGTAAAATTCTAGATTTTACTCCTTCAATGGAAGTGACATGTATGAAGAAACACAGAAACAAATGAACTTCAGCACACTTAATGCTGTTCAGTTACATAATCAATGTGAAGGTGGCCAAACTTTGAAGGTTCTTCCATATAAAAAGCTCCCTGTGCGTGCAAAACATGAGTGAGAAGTAGGCGGCTTTTGTGTGTGTGTCAGGAGAGCATTCAAAAACAAGACCTCCTCCACACCCATCATCCGAAGCAGTTGGGTCCAGCATCATTCCCCCACCCAGCTTAGCCTCCAGCAAAGCTACAGGCCTTACCTTCCCTCTTCATGCCCATCGCAAGGCATTTCTGGTACCGGCAATACTGGCACCGATTCCGCTGGCGCTTGTCAATCAAGCAGTCCTTATTATCGCGGCAGGTGTATGTCAAGTCTTTGCGCACTGTCCGCTTGAAGAAGCCTTTGCAACCCTCACAGCTGTACACGCCATAATGTTTACCTGTCAGGGAGAAAGAGAAGGCACCAATGGGAAGCTTCCGCAACACAGAGCCCACGGAGCTGCACATTTGCCCGGCTGGAATCCGGCATCCTGCAATGTGTCGGGGTTGCCTTGCATGCCAGCCCGTTTCACTTGTTCCAAAGTTTATATCTCGCAACTTCCCTAAGTTCAGGGCAGCTGACAAAAGTGTTTTACAGTGAAACCAAAGTAAATCAATGTACAGCAGCAATGCAAGCTATAACTCAAGCCTCGCAGAAGCAAATCACATCCCCCCCCCACCCCGAGTCCTTCTGAAAAGCAAGAGCCCTCGATGTGTTCTAGAAAAGGGCCAGAGTAGTCCGCCCCTCTTCTGGCAAACTGTTCCGGGGGAGGGCAGCAGTGGCTGACGAGGCCCTTGGGGTTGGCGTGCAGATCTGTCCACAAAGACTTCCAAGTGATTCACAGCAGAAGAGGCATGCAGGGTTCTCAGGTCAGGAAGGGCTTTCAGATCCAGAACCTTGAACAGAGCCCCGAAATAAACAGGAAGCTGGTGGAGTAAGACAGATGTGCCCTGATTCATAACAGATAAAAGGAGGCTCCTGCTTTCAGGCCTAATGGAAACTTCTGTACTGTCTTCAAGGACAGCCCCACATAAAGGAATGCAGATGCCAGGTGGCAGAAGTGGGTTTTATTTATTTAACCCATTTATACCCCGCCTTTCTCCCCAGTGGGGACCCAAAGCAGCTGAGGTCCTTCTCCTTTTCTCCATTTTATCCTCACAACAATCCTGTGAGGTAGGCTAGGCTGAGAGAGTCTGACTGAGATCAACATAGCCAGGCTGAACCAAAGACACCTGCAGCCCAGTCATCTCCATGAAATGTGGCTCCAGGGGAATGGGAGGCCCTGAGGAACTACTTGGGGGGGGGTGTCCACAGCAAGAAAGGGGGAAATCCATGGGAACTGCCAGTATAATTTCCCCATATATTCCCCAAAGAGCACTTCGGTCGGGGTCACAACACCGGCTGGTGACCCCGGGCCCTAAGGAGGCAAAGCTTGTGGCAACAAGGGCCAGGTCCTTTTCAGTGGCGGCTTCTATCTGGTGGAACGAGCTCCTGGAGGAGATCAGGGCCCTGTGGGACCTTGCGCAGTTCCGCAGGGCCCGCAAGACAGAGCTCTTCCCCCAGGCTTACGAGTATTAGTCGCCACTGCCACTACCACCACCACTCCTTTATAGAGAGATACCGCCGGAGGGCTGGACAACAACAAGGTGCTAGGAGTTTATATGTGCATCCGTTGAAATCGATTTTAACTGTTTTTTGTATACTGTATGCACCTAGTGCCCTATGTGAGCCGCCCTGAGCCCATTCACAGGGAGGGTGGGGTATAAATGCAATAAAATAAATAAATAAATATAATCTGGATCCAACCCATCATTAGCAACTACCAGTGGGGCTGGCATGCCATGCCCTCCCAGGCAGGGAGGGTCAGAATGCCAGCTGAATGAGAGGCAGAATTCTGCCCCAAAACCCTCTCCCTCCCACCTAGGAGACGTCTGCTGCATTCCGGAAGGGGCATGAAGGATCTGCCCTGCATATGCCCAGAAAGGACTCAGCAGAAGTCTCCCGAGCAGGCGAGGGTTGAAAACGCCACCTGTCTCTCAGCTGGGAAGTGGCATTCTGAACTTCCACTCAGACAGGAAGCTTCTGCTGGGGGGGGGGGGGGGACTTAGAATACCAAGACAGAACACCACCTCCCCTCCCAGAGAACAGCTGGTGATCTGGAAACCCCCCCCCCACACACACAAACAGTTACATGAGACAAAATGGGGCCAGATGCCACCACAGGGCAGAGCCAGGAGTGGGTGGATCAATTTATTTCCAGTTATTTCCAAGATCCATTATAGCCCATGTCACTGTTTGGCTCTGCACTCCTGGCTTGGACTCTAAAGCGGACCTGACAAAGTCCCAAAGAGACCCTGAGGCTGTTAGATCCGAGCACACGGCACTGGAGGGGGAGCGAGAGAGGCGAAGGGCCAGGCGCTGAGGCCTGTTGGTGCAGACCAGGCCTTGGCTGCCCCTCAGACACCTCTAGTGGAAGTCCTCCCATGGTGAGTAGGAGGCAGACTCAAGGTGCGACATCGTGATAGGACAAAGCTCATTAGTAATTAATAAATAATTCATTGGTATTAATTGTCCAGCCACACGGTAGTCTGTGTGGCTGGACAATTAATTTGGTTCTTCTGCATTAATCACAATTAGGTTCCCAATGTCTGTCAGTCCCCTCCTTTAACATGTCAGGAACAGACTGAAATCAGAGAAGAGAAACTCTTGACCCTGGTATCCCACGCCTTCTGCAGGACACTCAGCAAATGTGGCATTACCTGAAGATCTGTCCCCACAGATCGCACATATGTGCTTGGTGAAGGAGGCCATGGCTGACGAAGGGTGGACTGGTACTTTAAGGACTCCATTGAGGCCCAAAGGGGGCTTAATGTCCTCTGTGCTGCTCACTGGGTTCATGGGGGAACTGAGCTGCAGAGACGAGAAGACAGAACGAGTTAGTCAGAGCACCATCAAGCCAGAAAGGGAAGGGAAAAAATAACTTGATGATGCCCTTCAACACAGTTAAGTGCCGTTTAATTCGCCAATCACTGCAAATGTGTGCAGTTGTCCCAAAGAGCTCACAAGCCATCACAGTTGTGAGGTCAGAACCTTGAAATCAACCCTGGCTAAGAAACAGCGAGCCCCCAGGGAGAGCTATGGAGTAAACATGGTCCTATGCCCAGATGTTCCAAAACATCCCTGTCTTTTCATTTCCCCCAGCGTAAATTCCCCAGATGTTGCCAGCTGTGCTGTCAGCCCCCTTCTACCAGACAGACAATCTGAGGGCTGTGCTGCAACCACGGGGGCCTGGGCCATCCAGAGCACCGGAGGGATGGACTAGATGACCTCCAAGATACCCTCCCGATTTCAACACTATATGGCTTCAAAGAGAGAGTCAGTTAATAAAAAATACTAACAGTCAGCATCACAAAGCACATCCAGTGCATTAACTTGACTGTCATAGACAGCTGCAAGTCGGAGCTATTTCCCCCAAATGGCAGACGGCCACTTGACAAAAAGTAGTTTGCATAAGGCAAGACGTGGAGCTGAAGGCTGAGGTGAGATCGGAACACACAACCTCCCAGTTAACATTCTTGGCTGTATGATGCTGTACATCCACTCCAGGGCAGTTCGTCAGGTGGTGGCTTCGCCCTGGGAGTGTATCTTGATTTCCCTGCCCTTCTACAGGAGATATGTTGCATATTCTAAGAAGAGTAAAAGTAAGGCAGCCACACGTGTGTATCTAATTTAAGAAAACTTTACTAAACAAAGCATAGGAAGGGTACATTGGAAGACAAAATAACAGCATCCTGACTAACTAGTTCTAAGCTCCATCTTGTCTGTTTGATTGCTAAACCTCATCTGTGTGAGAACAAAGGAAATACTAACTAATATTAGCATGCATAAACAAACAGGTTAACTTTAGAATCTTTAACCAGCTTTAGAATCTGTACTCCACAAACCTACAGTCGGGTTCTGGTACGTAGATGAAATCTTTAACATTTGGAGCCATGGAGAGGTAGAATTGATGGAGTTCAATTCAATTACCTTTATTGGCATTTACATTAAAAAGGGTAATATACAAAAGATAAGGTAAAGAACGAATACCAATCAAGGAGAAAAAAACATTCTTAGTCTAAAATCAATGTAAAATAGTCTCAATTTCATATCTCCTGAAAACAAGTTTTGTATTACAATACAGTACTACGAATAGAAAGACCAGTCTGCAAGAACTCTGCCACAGAAACGGTTATATTTTCATCATCACTTTTTAGCAAATAAAGCAATTTGTGTGAGTCAGGAAGCTCTCTGATACCACCAAGTAATGACGATAAAATGCGGCGTTGAACATTGGCACAGTAACGGCATTCCAATAACACGTGAGACACCATTTCAACTGACCCGCTTGCACAGGGGCACAGTCTATTTTAAAAAGGTAGAGCATTGAACCTGGCAAGTGAAAAGATTGATGGAGTTTTTAGACCCCCTAAACAATATCCACCTGAACATACAATTCACCATGGAAAAAGAAATTGAAGGTAAACTCCCATTTCTAGATATCATGGTCATCCACAAAGCTAACTTTCAATTAGGTCACAAGGTCTACAGAAAACCGATTCACACGGATCGTTATTTACACAAAAACTCCAATTACCACCCTCAGCAAAATCAAAACATTAGTAGACCGTGCAAAATGGATATGTGAACCACACTTTCTCAACAATGAACTAAATCATCTAAACCATGCACTTCAAGCAAATGGTTACTCCAAGAATGAAATCAGAAGAGCGATTAAACCAAAGGTAAAACAAACAACTGAGGAAAAACATTCTCCCATAGGAAAAGTGCTTTTGCCATATATCAAAGGAATCACTGATCAGATGGGAAAACCTATGAAAAAACACAACCTACAAACAGTATTCAGACCCACCAGAAAAATACAACAGATGCTACGATTGGCAAAAGACAGAAGAGACCCCCTCACTTCTGCAGGAGTATACAGCATATCCTGCAGTTGTGGACAGGTTTACATTGGGACCACACAGCATAGCATCCAGACAAGAATAAAAGAACACAAAATACACTGCAGACTTGGCCAACCTGAAAAATCAGCAGTGGCTGAACATAGCCTAACTAAAACAGGACACAGTATCTTATTCCGACACTGAAATGCTGGACAACACATCCAATTACCGTGTCAGATTACACAGGGAAGCCATTGAAATTCATAAACATAAATACTATTTCAACAGGAAAGAAGAGAGTTTAAAAATAAATAGGGCATGGTTTCCTGTCCTGAAAAACACAACATGCTCTACATCTTACAACAGCACTACAGATAAGAATAGAGTTTCAACAGCCAATCCATATGCAAAAGAACCTCCTCAGGAAAACTCCTTCATTAGCATGTCACAGCCTGGGAAACTCCGACAAGATAATGACTCAGCCCTACCCCTGAGTAGATATAATTTACCTGCCTACCATTTTTCTTCTCACATTGACACAGAGAGTACTCCATCTTTCTGTGTTATACCTCTGAGGATGCCAGTCACAGCTGCTGGCGAAATGTCAGGTACTACAATGCCAAGACCACGACCATACAGCCTGGGAAATCTACAACTAACAAACATGTTAACTCTTTCATGACTGAAGGAAGTGAACTCACAGTACTCCAACACCCCTTCTCAAGTTCATATACTTAAGTCATGAAGGTGCAGTTTCTTACGCAGATGCTCAAACTTCCCTCTTGGGAGTGGCTTGGTGAGTATGTCAGCAACCATCTTTTCTAAGGAGCAATACTTTATTTCAATCAGGCCTTGTATCTATCTCACTGAAGGGTAATTGGAAACAATGTACTTGCTTCTAGCTTTGATGCTTTCATCCTTGGATGCATGCCTGATTGTCTTCAAACAAGGTACTTGGTATAGGTTCATCATCACCAAAGTCTTTCAGTAGACAGATGATCCATTCAAATGAATTTCAATGGGGATAAATGTAAAGTTCTGCATTTAGGTAAGAAAAATCAAATGCATAATTATAGGATGGGGGAGACTTGTCTTGGCAGTAGTATGTGCGAAAAGGATCTAGGGGTCTTAGTAGACCATACACTGAACACGGGCCAGCAGTGTGATGTGGTTGCTAAAAGGCAAATGCAATTTTGGGCTGTATCAACAGAAGTATAGTGTCCAGATCACGCGAAGTGATGGTACCACTTTACTCTGCCCTGGTTAGACCTCACCTAGAGTATTGTGTTCAGTTTTGGGCACCACAATTTAAGAAAGATATAGAGAAGCTGAAATGTGTCCAGAGGAGGGCAATGAAGATGGCTGAGGGGTCTGGAGACCAAGTCCTATGAGGAAAGGTTGAGGGAGCTGGGTATGTTTAGCCTAGAGAGGAGACGACTAAGAGGTGATATGATAACCATCTTCAAGTACCTGAAGGGCTGTCATCTAGAGGATGGTAGGGAGTTGTTTTCTGTTTCCCCAGAAGGTTTGACCAGAACCAATGGGTTGAAATTAAATCAGAAGAGTTTTCAGCTAAACATTAGGAAGAACGTCCTGACAGAGCGGTTAATCCGTGGAACAGGCTTCCTCTTTGGAGGTTTTCAAACAGAGGCTAGATGGCCATCTGTCAGCAATGCAGATTCTGTGAATTTAGGCAGATCATGAGAGGGAGGGCAGGAAGGGTTGCCTCAGGGCTTAGTTCTTGTAGCCCTTTCTTTATACGCCCAGGAAATGCTGATCACCACTTTGGGGTCAGGAAGGAATTCTTCTCCAGGACAGTTTGACTGGAGATCCTGGAGGTTTTTTGTCATCTTCTGGGCATGGAACAGGGGTCACTGCAGGTGTGGAGGGGGCGGTATTTGTGGAT